AGGAGGACTTGAAGCACTTGATGTTGAGGATCAAGGATTGCAGCCTTCAGTGGGGATTACAACTGGTCCAATAGGTAACATCATGATAAATGGAGAAAGGATTGAAATTATCAAGGATTTCATCTGGGTAGGATCCACAATCAATTCCCGTGGAAGCATCAGTGAAGAGATCAAAGGACACATTGCATTTTATTTGGTAAATCTGCTGTACAAAACCTCTTTAAATTGTTGGAAAGGCAGGATGTCACTTTGAGGACAAAGGTGCACCTTGGCCCAAGCCATGGGATTTTCATTCACCTCATATGCATGCCAAAGTTGTACATTGAATAAGAAGACTGATGGAGAATTGACGTGTTTGAATTATGGTTGATGATGAAGAATATTAAAGATACCGTGGACTGCCAAATGAATAAACAAATCTGTCTTGAGAGAGTATAACCACGATGTGCTCCTTAGAAGGACAGATGGGGAGACATCTTCTCACATACATTGGTATGTTGTTAGGAGAGACCAGTCACTGGAGAAGGGCATCATGCTTGCTAAAGTAGAGTGGCAGCAAAAAAAGAGCAAGGCCCTAGACATCATGGATCAACACAATGTCTGCAACAATAGGCTCAAACATAAGAACAATGATGAGGATGGCACAGGATGGGGCAATGTTTTGTTCTGTTGTACATAAGGGTACTGGAGTTGGCACTAACCCTATGGCACCTAACAATTACAGCAGCATCTCATCTGGTCAGTCTCCCAAAGTCATCTTGTTCTCATCCTTCCTGGTGTCTGATAAAATGTATCTAGGAGAAGAGTATTTACTTGTTCTGTGCTTTACACAGCAAAACCTCTAAGGGACTTAAGTCTGGCCACTGTGTCCCAGTCCAGAAGTGCCTCCCCCTAAGTCCACTCTTCCACATTTAAGCTTCTACAATGACAGTTTTGTAATCACAATCTTGTACTAGAACTGTGATGAGAACTCAAAAAGAATATATGAAAAATGCTGAGCATACTGCTGCTAGAACAGGAAGTATGCTGCTAGTTGTCTCTTACCCCAAGCAATGAGTGAACTGTTGTGACCTCAGGTCACTGGGATGGCTCCAGAACACTAAACAATGAGCAGGACATGATAACATCATCAACACAAAGAGGCTCTCTTCTCTTTGTTAAGAGATGTGCCTTCCTTGTGACCCTTCTGTGAGGGGATATCCAATTTTCTACAGATGGGGTTTGGGTCTCCTTTTAGAGCCTCGTCATTCATATAAAAATGGTTGTTTGGGGTTTTCTGATGCCTGGTAACCTGATCCCGTCGATAACGTGGGTGGGTTTGCTTCTTCCATGTGGACTTTTTTGCTTCCCTGCTAGATGGCTGCTTGTTTAACTTCAAGGTTTTAAAGCCCCAGACACTATATCTTGTCATAGCCCGGCACCAACAGCTTTCTTCACCACATTAGCTTATGCACCCATTTTGTCTTTAGCGATCGTGTTGGGAAGGTGAGCATCACAGAATGGCAGGTTATAAGACCAAAGTGTTCTTTCTTTGAGGGAGGATTTGAGTACAGACCCAACGTCCATCTGCTACATTAATATTAACCTATAAATATATGTACTTAGACCTATATCCCTATTGCTGTATATTAATATATTTACATATGTACATGCCTAGTTTACACCTCTATAAATGTCTTTTGCCTCCTAGTTCTTACCTCTATTTCCTTTTACTTTCCTCCTGTACCATTATCATATTTGACCTCCTTTCAGCTTTGTGTACTTCCTCTCTGATACATTGCACTTGATCAACCCCACCTGCCTTTCTATGCACTCCTTACCATTTTACATCTCTTGTTGTTCCCCTGTTCCTGGATTTGTTGCCTCCCCACTCCCTTTCTCCTACCTCCTTCTCTTCCATTTTCCCTCAGAATCATTGGTCCCATTGTTTTCTCCTCAGGATTGTTTATCCAGCCTATCTTATATCGATAGACATAAAAAAAAGAAAAGGAAAAACAAAAAGTAGTCTATGAATAGTTCTACGTCAGTCTGGTGACCCTTATGAATGCTTTACAATTTAGTCTGGTACAGTGCCAAGCCCTCACTCCACTCCCACCCCCAGTCCAAAGTCTATTTCTCAGGAACTTTGTTGCTTTGTTCCTCTTGCTGCTCTGTTGTCCTCCCTTCGTGTTACACCCTGGTGTGCAGTGTGGAGGGGTCAGAGTGGACACAATTCCCAGAGTGTGTCTCCGGTGCTGCCCCCGGTAGTGCTATGGGCCAATAAGGGGTTGTTGTGTCTCATGGTGAGGCCGACCCTATGGTCCTCTCTGTGCATTGGCTGCTCCAAGCAGGAATGTCCTCCTCGAAGGTAGGTGGGCCAGGATGCTGTCCACTCTCTCTCTTTCCTACTTAGTTTGCTCAGTTGGTCTGGTCAGACCTGCCACTCTCCCCAGACTCTATCTTCAGTGCTGTCCTCTGTAGAGCATTCTTCTGAAGAGGGGGGATGTCGATACAGCTGGGATAGAGGCCGGCCCCACAGGCCTCACTGTCAGGGTGCAATATATTACCGATGAAATACACAACATTCCTCTAGCTCTTTAATGCTTCCTCCTCCCACTATCATGACCCCACTTCTACCTTACAAATCCAGGTAGACCGGAGCATGTACACTGGTACAGATAAGAGCTCTCGACACTTGGAATCCAGAACTGATACTCCCCTCAGGAACAATAATGGGAGTAGCGATAGCATGAGGGTAGGGGGAAGGTGGGAAGGAAAAGGGGGATAAACGGGGAACCGATAGTGATGATCAATGCATACCTGCCCCCAGAGTAATGAACAGCAGAAATGTGGGTGAAGGGAGTCCATGGGTGGTGTAACATATGAAAATAAAAATGATTTATAAATTATCAAGGATTCATGAGGGTAGGAGGGTTGGGGAAAGAGAGAAAAAAAGAGGAGCTGATACCAAGGGCTCAAGTAGAAAGAAAAGGTTTTAAAAATGATGATGGCAACATATGTACAAATGCATTGAATACAAATGGTATGTGGATTGTTATAAGGGCTGTCAGAGCTCCCAATAAAATGATTTATTATAATAAAAAAGAGAGAGAGACAGTCATAAGTGAAAACCACAACTCTGAGCCCATTGGACTTGCACTAGTGCTAGGTTTCCTGTTCTAAAATTCTGTGATGTCTTTGGGGCTGGCTAACTGCACTATCACTGGGCTGACTTCCCTTCAAGCAGGAGGCTCATAGCTCCTCCTCCTCCTCCTCCTCCTTCTTTTTTATGAGATCATTTTACTGGGGGCTCTTACAACTCTTGTTACAATCCATGCATCAATTGGATCAGACATACTAGTAGTACATACATTGCCATTGTTCTTTTCTTGACATTTACTTTCTATTGAGCCCTTGGGATCAGCTCCTCCCTGCCCACCCCCTGAACCTCGTTGTCCCTTGATAGATTATAGATTGTAATTGTTTTCATATCTCACACTGACCACTGTGTCCCTTCTCCTCTGGTTGCTATTGTTCTCTCCCCTGACTGGGAGTGTGTGGCTATGTGCCATTCATTTTGATGGGTAACCCCTTCCTCCCCACCTCTCCCCCACTTCTCTCTACCCTTTTGGTATCGCTATTCCCATTCCTGTTCCTGGGTTCCGTGTGTCGTGAGTTTTCTCTCTTGCCTACACCTATGGACATGCCCCCGTCCACTCCATAGTGGGAAGCAGCACTGGGGTCATGATAATGGGGGGTAAAGAGGCCTCAAGGGATCAGAGGTATATCGAGTGATCCATCAGTGCTCTACTGCACCCTGATTAACTCATCCCCTCTCTGCAGCCCCTCAATAGGTGGATGGTCCATTGTCCACGTGGGCTTTGGGGCTCTGCTACCAACCCCATCATTTTCACCAACATGTTTCTCTTTGTTGTTTATTATGAATCTTCTGATGCCTGTTACCCAGTCCTGGTGGCACCTCATGATCACACCAGCTTGCGTGCTTCTTCCATGTGGGCTTATTGCTTCACTGTTGGATGGCTATTTTTAACTTCAAGCCTTTACGACCACAGATGCTATATATTTTAATAGACTGGCACCATCCGCTGTCTTCACTACATCTGCTTATGCACCCATTTTGTCTTCCGTGATAGTGTTGGGGGTGGGGGCGTGGTTGGGGACAGTTAGCATCACAAAATGCCATTTTATTAGAACAAAGTGTTCTTGTATTGAGGGGGGTTATGAGCTGAGGCCCAAGGCCCATCTGCAGCTTCAGTGTATTGCCTTATAAATACATGTACATAGACTAATACCTCTATTTTTATGGATTAGTGTATTTACATAAGTATATACCTCTGTAAATAGCTTTATCTATAGCTTTATTTCCTAAAGCTTTCCTCTGTTTCTTTTTTTTCTCTCACTGTGCAACCCACTTCAGTGCCGACGCCCGTGGGACAGAGCCAGGCAATGGTTCGGGGTCACAGTTCGCTCTGGCACGGGACACTCTGAGAGGCCTATGGGGTCAGGTCTGCCTTCAATCCTCCTCTGTTTCTTTTTGTCTCCTCTAGCCCCACCATCACGTCCCCCCTTCTTCCACTTCTTAGTCCTTCCTCTCAGCTCGATTGGATCTCAACACCCTCCTAGATGTTGGTTTCAATTCTCTGGTCTGGCTTTTTAGTAGAGCCTAGCTCCCAACGTATCTGGGGCTGCTCACCTGTGCTGAACTGATGAACATTCATGTGATTTTCAATGCTTATTGCCTTTAGGTCTAGAGTGACGGAAGTCAAGAGGGTGTACCTCCCAGTCCGACTCAACCCATTTTTAAATGGCACATTTTATAAAAGGGGTTGACAGGCCTGTGGGGATCTTAGTGTTATTTCTGACTGAGAAGCTGAGATCAGAGGTGAGTCTCAGATATTAAAGGATCCCCCCCTCCCCCCCGATGCTTTCCTCAGATGATACACACTAAAGAAAGCTGTAGTGGTGATGTGCGAGCGTCAGTCCTTGTGTTTGTGTTTCAGAAAGTCAGAAAAGAAGAGCAGAACACAATAACACCGTGGAACGCACAGAAAAATGCTGAAGCAAAGGTCCCAGCTTTCAGGAACAGGACCTGTGTGAGTCTTGTGCCAGCAGAAATGTTGCTAATTTGCTCTGGGCCTCAGATTCTGCCTGCAAAGGTAGGTTGGTCTCATATCTGAGTGTTGGCAGCCTTGATCAGAACATAGACATTGTCAAGAGTTTCCCATTTCAATGTCAGCAAGCGCTGCAAATCAGCCTACACAGTACCACTGCTACTCGTACCCTCACTGTCTGCTATGAAATGCTACTTCTGCGATCTCTGTTCATGTTAGAGATCCAACACTTTCATTTTTGCAAATGCCCTGGTAACTGCCTATTCATTCAAGTGAAAGTGTGTTGCAGCTGTCCCAGCCCCACTCGCGAGGTCGCCACTCTATGGTTGCTTGCTTCTTGGGAGAAGAGAGAAAACGCCATTTGGGCGTTTTCTCTCACTTCATTCTGAGGGACATGAGCCCCTCATTCCCTCATCTCTCAGGAAAACATTTCTAACAACTTTCTTTTCTTTAGGAAATTACCTCGAGTGGTCGTCATGTGTTAGGTTAAGCGTGGTATGTAAGGGCCCTTGGAAAATAAAGGGAGGGTGTTTTCCACAGTTTCTTCTGACTTCCAAAGTTGTTCTTCATATCACTGGCTTTCTGGGCAGTGGATGAAAGATGAAAGACTGGCACTAAAAGTCCGCAGGAAGTGAGGAGAATAAAGGCCACAGGTAGATCAGAAAATAGAGGGCATATCCAAAAACAGTGTGTCTCAATATGAATAGTTTGTACCCAATGAGCATTTGGTTTCTTCTCAGACCACATGTACACTTGACTACTGAAGAGTTCCTACTAAAGCTTACATGTGCTCAAATTCAGTCTTTGGCAGGAACCGAAGTAATAGAGGAAGTGTACTCAATGCAGGACTTCATTAACCTGTAGTGCGTATTCACTTCCTGGTGTCAAAAATGGGTGGGGCAAACTCGTTTGTGTTAACATTCAATACTTCTTCTGGTTATTAATAAGACAAGTGTCGGGACCCCACATAAATTAAATCAAGATTGAATGTGCAATTTCGCTTAAAAAAAGAGAAAATTCTTAAATCAAAGTTATTAAACTTTTGAAGTCAAAGCCATTTTGTCAGTTATTTACCATTGATTAGGAAATAGCCTGATGAATCATTGGAAGAAATCCCTTTATTTTTAGATCTGACTAATAAGGGCTCTTGACAGCAGCAAGCTGAATTAGTGTGTTGAACTGCCACCACTACGTGAATTAATGTTAAATGCTTTGTCTTAGTGCCTTACTATTTGCTATTAATAAAGAAAATTATGAATGTGAATAGATTCTAGTTGGCCTTTGAGCAACTTGAGTTTATGAGTTTGACAACTGCTTCGTGTTGAAGATGTGTTGGATGTTTTTTTGCATACCTTTAGTTATTAAAACATTCACCCGGGACAGCACATCATGGTTAGGCTATGTTTGCAAACAAAGGAATCTGGATCATATAGGACAAAGCTCTTGATTCTCAAGTAATATCCTCATCTAGATTATCTAGTTGTTTATGCACATATGTTCATATACTGCATTTTAATGAAAATTGCATACGTTATATTTCCCCTCATCCCCCAAGCCACATAATCCCTATATGTACTCTGAAAGTTATATGCATATGTGTGCTATTTATGCAGGTGCATAATATGTGAAAATATGATCTAACTTGCCTATGTCTTCTGTCTTGAAGACACTAGTTTTTGTTTTGCAGTTTTTTAATGGAAAGTTCTGAATATTGCCATCTATGGGCTTTCTCTGAATTTTCAGATTATATTTCTTCGATGAATTACAGTGCATACAGTTTCTAACTTGTAGATAACCATCTTTGCCTCTCTATTACAGCATTTGTTATTGTTGGTAGCTGTTGTCCATTCTTTTAAGACTCGGGGGAGCCCGAGTGCGCTGAGTAGGAGTGGGCTCCCTCCGTAGGGTGGTTAAGCTGTGACGATTCAGAGACAGATTGCTAGTTCTGTCTTCTGAAGCAAAACTAGGTGGGTTTAAAGCACCAATATTTATGCTAGTAGTTATCTTAGACTTTCAATAAATATGTTTTGAGTAGAATTTCCCTATTAAATAAATATGCCTGCTATCATTGGGATAATTCTCCACAACCTTCTGAAATGAAAGATGCACATTTGGCACTAGTGCAATGTATTCATTAACTCTTTTATGAAGAAGCCAGTCTTTTCCTATGGGGCTACTAGCGTGTCGTAAGGTGCCTTCAAGTCAGTTCTGACTCATCTTGAGACTATGTACAACAGACTATGTACAACTATGTAGCATTGCCCGGTCCTTCCACATCTTCACAGTAGTTGTGCTTGAACCCTTTGTGGCAGCTACGGTCAGTCCATCTAGTTGAAGGTCTTCCTTTTTTTCACTACCATTCTACTTTAACGAGCATGATGTCATTTGCCAAGGACTGATTTCTCCTGATGATGTCTCCATCATCACTTCTCAGGCACATTCTGGCTGTACTTTTCCAAGACAGATTTCTTCGTCCTGTAAACAAGTTACAGACTATGCACAGGGCAACACCAATTCTCCCATCCCTGGAAAGGGTGCCCCTTCTTAAACGTTGGGAATGTTTTTCAAAGAGACCTTGGGGGGTACTCAAAAAGGTCATGGGGATTGTCCATTCTCTCTTTCTTGCTCATATCATTTAGTGTTTCAGTGCTCAGATAGTCTTACTTAAAAATGAAACAAAACAAAACACTTATTATTGTGAACTAGGTGACACTTTACAAAGCAAATCATAGTTCTGCAAACTATCATTTGGTGTAATCTCATTCACTGCAATCCTGTCAATATACCATCACTTAGCCCACGTCCTCCGTGGGTTTCCGCTTTCCATCCCTTCTTCTTTCCTAACACGCTGTCCTTAGTTTCTTGGGTAAACGCTGCACTTTTGATATTATATGTTCGATGTTTCTGACTTGGCTGTGAGTTCAGTTCTAGATGGGAGGGGTCAGGTCCATAGTCTTCGGGGTCCTGCTGGTAAGCAAGATTTCTTATGATTTTGAGATTTTTTCTACTTTTTCTTCCATTCTAACCAGGATTTTTGTAGGTGAGCCTTCTCAGAGCAGTTGGCACATTTTAGTTCTGCTCTCAGAGTTGTGGAGACTGATGTCTCCACATAGACCATAGGACTAATTGTTTCTATGTCTCTTTCGATTAGCGTTTCTCTGCTCTTCGCCTCAGGGAGAGAGACCAATATTTGCACCTTAGACGACTGCCCTTGAACTTTTCCGACCCTAGTGACAATTCCCCAAAGTAGCTTGTAGATCATTGCTTTGGTGAACTGTGGCTGTGAGGTGCCATCCTCACAATTGTTACTATTTTTGAACCAATTTCATTGCTGTAGCCATTGTCTCAGTTTATTTTGTTGAAGATCTTCCTCATTTTTGCCGAACCTCAATTTTATCAAGCGTGATGTCCTTCCCCAGAAATTACCCTGTCCTCATAGCATGTCTAAAGTACTTGAAACCTCATCTTCCCATCCTTCCTTCTCAGGAGCATTCTGGCTGTACTTCATTCAATACAGATGGTTGTGAATTATGTTATGCCAGTTCACCTTATTGTTCCCTGACACTATGTTTCTGATCCTCTAGACCCAGACTCTCATTCCCTCAAGGTGTTTGGTTTGACACTACTTTCTGTTTTGCTGGTTTTTTAATGGAAAGTTCTGGGTGTTTCCACCCATGGGTAGGAAATCACATGATAATTTTGCAAGACCAACGACTCCTTCACTGCAAACACCTTTGTTAACAACACAATCTATGACTATGCATGCATAATTTGCTAGATGGAATACACAGGAATCAAATAGACTATATTTCAGGGAAGAGATGATGGAGAATCCCAAAATCAGAAACTTTCAAACCAGGCCAGGGGCCTACTATGGAACAGATTGCCAATTACTTATATATAAATAGAGATTGTAGCTGCAGAAAATAAAATCAAGTCCCAGAGAGCCAAAATATGACCTTAAGTCTATCTCACCTGAATATCAAGAACATCTCAAGAACAGATTCGGTGCATTGAACACTAATGACATGAAACTTGAGCTCTTGGATGACATCAAGGACATTATACAGGAAGAACACCAAAGGTCAGTACATAGACAAGAAAGAAAAAAATCAAAGCGGATGTCAGCAGAGCCTCTGAAACTTGCTCTTAACCATAGAGCAGCTAACTCAAGTGGAAGAAATGATGACGTTAGAGAGGTGAACAGAAAATTCCAAATGGCAGCTCAAGAAGGTGAAGTAAAATATGATTATAAAATACGAAAAGACTAGAGTTAGAAAACCAAAAAGGAAGCACATGCTCAGCAGATCTTAAAGTGAAAGAGCTCCAGAAAAAAATAAACCCGAAAGTTGCAATACAGAAAGAGTCTATGGGCAAAAGATTGAATGATGCAGGAAGCACTCAAAGAAGACAGAAAGAAGACACAGAATCCTTGTATCAAAAATAACCAGTCTACATGCCACTATTTCAATAGGTAATCTAAACAAGTATCAATGGTGCTGAAGGAAGAAGTCCAAGCTACATCAAAGGCATTAGACTAGGCGCCAGGAATTGATAGAATACCAATTAAACCGTTTCAACCTGCTGATGACATGGTGCAAGGACTCACTTGTTTATAGCAAGAAATTTGGAAGATAAATAGCTGGATAATGATAATTAATTCTATAAATTTCCTTCTGAGTATTGCTTCTACTCTTTCCCAAAGGTTTTGATGTGTTGTGTTTTCTTTCTGGTTTGATTAAATATTTTTATTTTCATTTCCTATATTACCCAAGAGTTAAGTAGTATGGTATGCAGTGTCTGTGTATTTTATTTCTTTGATCTTCCTATTGCTGATTTTTTAAAATTTTATTGCATTGTGATCTCAGAAAATGTTTCATAATAAGTTGACATTCTTGCCAAATATATGACCTGTTCTGGAAATTATCTGTGATTTGGGGGGAAAATGTATATTATGTTGTTTTGGAGTTTGTACTCTACGTATGTCTTTCAGGTCATTAATATTTGGCTCTTCTGTATGTTTGTGGAGCTTTGTCATTTGAAAG